TGTAATCCCAGGTACTTGGGAGGTTGAGGCAGGAGAATTGCTTGAACCCAGAGGTGGAGGTTGCAGTGAGCTGCAATTCTGAGTTTGGCAAGAAGAGTGAACTGTGGCCCGGTGCCTGGCACACACATTTTAGAGTTCACAGTGTGTTCTCTTGAAAACTATTTTAGCCAAAATCGTGTCATCATCTCTGGCCACTCACTTTATTCAAAAGACTTGACTCAAAATGACTATTTATGGAAATCAGCTTCAACTCTAGCCTCAGAAGACAAAAACATTGTAGTTCTAAAGATATTCAAAAGAAGGTAATTAAGGTTATTAAAAAGCAATGAAGGTCCAGGCACCATGACTCACACCTGTAATCCCAGCACTTTGGGAGGCTAAGGCAGAAGGATCACTTGAGGCCAGGAGTTTGAGACCAGCCTGGGCAACATAGTGAGACCCTGTCTCTACAAAATAATTTTAAAAATTAGCTGGGCATGGTGGTGTGTGTCTGTTGTCCCAGCTACTCCAGAGGTTGCAATTGGAGGATGACTTGAGGCCGGGAGTTTGAGGTTGCACTGATCCAGGATTGTACCACTGCACCCCAGTCTGGGTGACAGGGAGAGATTTCATCTCTTAAAAAAAATAATAAAGGGAGTAAGAAAGAGCTTCTCCTCCAAATACTCCCACATCATTTAGGCAATTACAAGATTATAGAAAACATGGAAAACCTACCTTGAGTACCTTTTTGGATATATGCTTATAAGAAAACAAATCTCTTTAATTAACTAATAGAAAGACTAAGAGGAAAGGATCCTAGGGTACATGTGGTTTTACTTCCCTATTTAATTTTATTTATTTATTTAGATAGAGTCTCACTCTATTGCCCAGGCTGGAGTGCAGTGGCACAATCTCAGCTCACTGCAACCTCCACCTCCCAGGTTCAAGAGATTCTCCTGCCTCAGCCTCCCGAGTAGCTGGGATTACAGGCACCTGCCACCATTCCTGGCTAATTTTTGTATTTTTAGTAGAGACAGGGTTTCACCATGTTGGCCAGGATGGTATTGATCTCTTGACCTCATGATCTGCTCACATTGGCCTCCCAAAGTGCTGGGATTACAGGTGTGAGCAACGGTGCCTGGCTCCCTAATTTTAAACATGAGAAAATTGGGTACCAAAGAAAGGAAGTAACTCACCAGGTAGAGAGAGAAGAGCCTCTCTTACTACAGGGGCCTCTCATTGGAAAACTGGCAAAACTTGTTCCCTGCCTGCATTCTCCAAGATCTTAGCCCAGCATAGAAAAGAAATGTCTCTACTTTAGAGGACAGCTGGTTTGTCCTTTGCCTTTTACATCCCTTTCAGCAAGCAGTGTTTCTCAACTTTGTGTGTGTGCAAACTCTTGAGCAGCACAAACTCCTGAGCTAAGAGACACTCCACTCTGTTTGCAATTGAGGGCAAAGGCTGGGATCCTCGGGCACAGTTTCAAACTCCTTTTCCAGAAGTCTGGGGTGGCAGAAAAAAAAAAACATACATTAATTAATTAATTAATTAATTTTGAGACACTCTGTCACTTAGGCTGGAGTGCAATGGTGCCATCTCAGCTCACTGCAACCGCCACCTTCTGGGTACCAGCTATTCTCCTGTGTCAGCCTCCCAAGTAGCTGAGATTACAGGCATGTGCTTGAGGTTAGAAGTTAGAGACCAGCCTGGCCAACATGGTGAAATCCTGTCTCTACTAAAAATGCAAAAATTAACCAGGCATGGTGCCTGGCGCCTGTAATCCCTGGAACTCGGGGGAGTCTGAAGCATGAGAATTGCTTGAACCCAGGAGGCAGAGGTTGT